CGAATTTGAATTGTCCGCACACTAGGAAAGCACCTCAGCTCCTGTACTTCACGCCAAGCAAATACTTAAATCGCTGATTGGCTGTATAATTGAGTATCTTTCTTTGTAAAGTGTTATTTTGTTTTAATCCTTTTGATTTTGTGAAAATTATATCCTAGTGTCCTTATTTAATAATAGGCAATTAAATTAAGCTCATATCTTTCATCATATGTCAAATCTTTATTGTCTGCGATATCTTAAAGGACTGTATAATAGCCCATTTGTTAAAAATACCTGTTTATTAAATTAACTTTTGTGTTTATTAAACAAGTTGCTTTTTTACTGTTGCAGGGAATAAAAAATGAGTAAATCAGTCCTCAGCATTTGAAAAGCTAAATTTTAGTTTGTTGATTAGGCACACAAAGTAAAAATTCTGATTTAATCAGGTAATTTTTAATTACAGTGGAAGAGAGCAATTTTTAACTAATAGAAGCAAAAAGATGGGAGAGCTTATTTTTATTTTAAAAATATTAAAGAAAATTTTTGTGGTCAAACCTCGCAGTAGTCAAGACTTATTCCTGACTCTGCACTCAGGGATCACTCCTGCCAGGGCCTGGGGAACATATATGGGATTCCTGGGATTGAACCCAGATCAGCCATGTGCAAAACTAGCCCCCTGCCCATGGGACTATCAGTCAGGCCCTGAATAGAGGCTGATTGATTTATATAGTTGAAATAACTGACTTGGTTATGGATTGAATAAAAAAATTTAATGTATTTTAATCTATCTCATTTCATTTATCTTTACTTTTGGTTTGGTAATTCCTAGGTAATATCAATAAGTAGGGGGTAACCTTGGTAGCTCTATAGTAGTTTCAGGCTTATACCCTATCAGCTTAGTTACACCAATGATAAACTCTCCAAATTTCAGAATCCCTTGGCTCATTTGTCCCTATGCTGTTCTTTATCCAGTGTACGAATTCCTACTCTGAACCTTGTTCATGGGCCTCTTGGAGTTCCCTGATGTTTGGGTTTTCGTTAGTCTCCGGCTACCACCACATGTGTGTTGTCAGTCCTTGTGCTTCGTACCTGATGCTGGGCTGCTTGTACTGTACCTCAGTGGCTCACTCTCGTCCTGGCTTTCCTTAGATTCAGGCCATTACCATGTGTATGTGGGTGAAACTCCTGTGCTCAGTACCTTGTCACTGCCTGGGTGTAAGAGCCCTGCCTGATTCTGCCTAACGTGGGCGTGTCCTGATTCTGCAATCATTCTGGGCGTAGGTGAATCTGTTGAGAGAAAGATCCTATCTGGGGGCTTCCTTTTATTTGCTATCATCTCCCACCCCTAGCCATCCTATTATGTTTTGATTGAATAACTAATTCACCTCCTGCTGGATCACATTAACCAAACTGGATCCTTTGGAGTTGGAATGGAGAGGATGGGGAGAGAGGATGGTCCAGCTCTTGTCCAAACTCAATGAAATCAAAAGGAGTTTTTTTTTTTTTTAAATAAGTAGTTTTTAAAATTGTGATTGTAGATTCTGCTATAAGAAGAAAGGAGGCTGAGCAGATCAAAAAAAAAGCAACACAATAGAAAGTATTTAAATAAATTAAAATATTTAGTTGAGCTGAAAGATGAATTCTGATAGTTGCTTAATACAGGAGGATGTATTTGAATTGCACCCTGAAGGACAAGCTTAATTTTTCCAAGGCAGAATAAATAAAGAAAGACTTTCTAGGTCACCTATTTAAAATGCTTGGCAGTGAAAAAGAAAAAAGAGAAACTACTAAAGTCTAAAAGGAAATGTTAAGATTTTCACTGGGGAGATGGCTCAAAGGATTAGAGCACATGCTTTGCATGTGGGAGGCCCCAGTTCAAGTCCCAGTACTTGATAGTCCCTGGACCATTGCCAGGAGCAACCCCTGAGGTCCACCGGGTGTGGACAAAAAAAAAATTCAAAATAAACAGGATTTTCCCCCCTTCATCATGAAGAAAAGTTGAACTTTTATTTTATTTTCCTGGCTTTTTTGAGCCATACCCAGCTGTGCTCAGGAATCACTCCTGGCAGGGCTTGGGGGACCATACGCAAAGCTGAGGATCAAATCCTGGTCAGCCGTGTCCAGGGCAAACTCCCTACTGATGTACTCTCTCCGCCTGCAAACTGAACATTTTTATGGTAGCCAAGCAGAAGCAACTTAAATGCAATTTTTCTTTTTGTTTATAAAGAGAAAGGTAGCTGCTCGTGCTGAGGACAAGTTTAGGAAAGTGATGGTGGCCGTGGAGCATAGCATACAGAAATTCATGTAAAGCATGTTTTAGGACAGCATCAGACTTGTCTTTCTAAAAGGAGAAAAGGTTTCTAGTTATCCTTTTTTGCTCTGTAGCTTGTGATTTCAAAATTATTTGGTGGATTAGCAGTTTGGCTTGAACTCAGGCTGGATTACTGCTTTTACTGATAAAAGCCTTGAGTCCCTTACATGGCAGTGGTCATTTGGGCTGTGGACACACAGTTTAAGGTTATGGTTTTACTTACATTTTTGGTTGTTGGGCATCTCATTTCAGGTATTCATAATCTGTGAACTTTTGCATATAGTATTTGGCTACACTTAAAGGAAAAGCAGAAATAGTAAAGCCTCATTAAAACGAGGCTTTGAATTCCCAGAGTCTTCTTTCACATTCTTTTGGTTAAAGCAAGTCACAAGATCAGTTTAGATTGAGTGGAGAAATAGAAGCTACATTTTATGTAGTTAATTAATTTATTTTGCCTTTTGGGTCACACCCAGCGATGCTCAGGAGTTACTCCTGGCTCTGCACTCGCGAATTACTTCTGGAGGTGCTCAGGGGACCATATGGGATGCTGGGAATCGAACGTGGGTCAGCCGTGTGCAAGGCAGACACCCTTCCTGCTGTGCTATCACTCCAGCCCCTAGACATTTTAAAACCAACATTTTAATAAAATAAACTATAGATTTTCATTTCAAAAGAGACTGTACTGGTATGGGAAGAATTTGTGCCCATTCTCCCAATTCCCAATGGTTTATTGTGAAAATTTTCACACAAGTGACCAATTTTAGGAATTTAAAATTTTAAAGTACCCAAATACCAACTACCTAAATCCTACTACTATTTTCCTATACATACTTTATCATGTCTAGTTCTCCCTCTCGGAGAACCCGGCAAGCTACCAAGAGTATCCTGCCCACAAAGCTGGAGCCTGGCAAGCTCCCCATGGCGTATTCGATATGCTAAAAACAGTAACAATAATGGGTCTTATTCCCCTGACACTGAAAGAGACTCCAGTGTGGCACCCTTGGGAAGGACGAGTAAAGAGAGGCTGCTAAAATCTCAGGGCTAGGATGAAAGGAGACATTATTGGCACCCTCTCGAGCAAATCGATGAACAACAGGATGATAGTGATACAGTGATATTTTATCATGTAATTCACCTTCTACTATCAATTCATACTTTAAAAAAATGTATTTCAGAGACTGGGGAGATAGTTCAGTATGTAGGGCAATCACTGCAATCCTATACGGTTTCCTAGCATCACCAGTAGTAATTTTTAAGTGCAGAATCAAGAGTAACCAGAGCTCCACTGGGTGCGGCCCACCCCTTCCCCAATGTATTTCAGTATAAATCATAGGCATCAGTACTTTCCTTTAAGTACTTGATACATTGTTAGCAAGACAGTATTCTTATTTGTGATACTGTGATGAATCCCATGTATTTACGTATTTGAAGTATGTACTGTGTTCTACCTGGGCTGGAGTGATAGTAGAGTGGTAGGGCATTTGCCTTGCATGCGGCTGGCCTGGCCTACCCGGGTTCGATTCCTCCACCCCTCTCAGAGAGCCTGGCAAGCTGCCAAGAGTATCTCGCCCACACAGCAAAGCCTGGCAAGCTACCCATGATGTATTCGATATGCCAAACACAGTAACAACAAGTCTCACAATGGAGATGTTACTGGGCCCACTCAAGCAAAATCGATGAACAACGGGAGGACAGTGCTACTGTGTTCTACCAGTATGTCACATCTCTGGCCCTGAAGTTTAGAATTTTTTTCTTGGGGCAGGGGGCTAGAGGGTGGGGGGTGGGGACAGACTGGTACTGTTCAGAATTTATTCCCAGCTCTGTGCTCAGGGATTCACTCCAGTCAGTGACTGGAGACCATATGTAGTACTGTAGATCAAACTGGCATTGACATGCAGAGCAAGTGCCCGAATACTTGTACTCCTTCATCTGGGGGGCGGGAGGGGCCCATACCTAGTTTAGGGGCTATTCTTGGCTCTGATTGAAGGGGGTCACTCCTGGTGGAGTATATCATGGGATTGTATGGGATCCCAGGGATTGAACTGGGTCCCCCCTATATAAAGTCCTTTCTCTGGCTTGCTGTGAATAGGTCAGCCACTTAATACTGAAAATTGCCAGAAGTACTACTAGTTAATAGTAGTGTTGGTGACAACTGAAGTGGCAGCTGCTTGACTTCATTTATTATGTTCACTTTCCTGGTAATATCATGCATGTTTCAGCATCTCCTTTAACCCACAAGTGAATAAGATACTTTAAAAATACTCCTTTTGTATTTCCCCTGTTCATTTCTTGAAATCTTTCTCTTATATTTAATGTATTAAAGTGCCTTTAAATCCTAAATCAGGGTCAGTGAGATGATACAGAGTGTAGTGTGCTTTCCTTGCATGTGGCCGGCCCAGGTTCAATCCCTGGCACCACCTATGGTCCCTGGGTACACCATGAGTACAGAATACAGAAAAAGGGGTAAGTCATTTAGTACAGGTGGGTCTGTCTCCCAAAATGGGAAAAAAAATTATCTGAGATAGGTAGCACTGTAGCACTGTCCTCCTGTTGTTCATCGATTTGCTCAAGCGGGTACCAGTAATGTCTCCATTGTGAGACTTGTTACTGTTTTTGCCATATCAAAAACATCATGGGGAGCTTGCCAGGCTTTGAGATGGGTAGCAAACAAAATAAATTTATTAAAAATCTACTTGTTATTTTTTTATAGGTCTTTATATTTTGGAAGCTACAAGATTCGAAGAAAGTTTGGTCTTTCAAGTGGTCATGGCTCAGATTTCCAGCAATAGTGGATTTAAGCAGTGTTCATCTTCACATCTGGAACACACAAGAACAAAAGAGGTAGACAAAGAAGAAGCATTACAGATGGAAGCAGAGGCTTTGGCTAAACTGCAAAGGGATAGACAAGTCACTGATAATCCAGCGGGCTTCACGTTGTCAAATAGCACCAAACAAAAAGCACAAGTTTATAACAAACAGGATGATCTCATGGTGTTTCCTGAATCAGACACCCAAAAAAGAGCAGTGGATATTGATGTCGAAAAGCTCACCCAAGCAGAACTGGAGAAACTATTGCTGGACGACAGTTTCGAGACTAGGAGAACACCTGTCTTGCCAGTCACTCCTGTTCTGAGCCCTTCATTTTCAGCACAGCTCTATCTTAGACCAGCTCTTCAGAGAGGACAGTGGCCACCTGGATTGTCTGGACCTGCCACTTACACTTTACCTTCTATTTATCCGTCAACTTACAGTAGTAAACAGACTGCATTCCAGAATGGCTTAAGTCCCGGGATGCCCACCACTTTTCCTTCTAACGAGCCATTATATTTAAGTCTTCCGGGACAGTCTCCGTACTTTTCATATCCTTTGACACCAGCCGCTCCTTTTCATCCACAAGCAAGCTTACCTATCTACCGCCCAGTGGTCAGTCCTGACATGGCAAAGCTGTTTGACAAAATAGCTAGCACCTCCGAATTTTTAAAAAATGGAAAAGCCAGGACTGATTTGGAGATCAATTCAAAAGCTACAATGAGCAATCTTCAGGTATCTCCGAAGTCTGAAGATATTAGTAAATTTGACTGGTTAGACTTGGATCCTCTCAGTAAGCCGAAGGTAGACAATGTGGAAGTGTTGGAACATGAAGAAGAGAAAATTGTGTCCGGTTTGCTAGCGGAGGATCCCTGGGAGGCTGTTCTTCTTGAAGAGAGATCACTAGCAAATAGTAACCATGAAAGAAAGGTGAATGGAAAATCTCTTTCTGGAGCAACTGTAACAAGAAGCCAATCTTTAAATATTCGAACAACTCAGCTTACAAAAGTCCAGGGCCAAATATCTCAGGTAAAGTGTTTTTTTGCTAACTTTTCAAATATAGTGACTTAATAGAATTCTTATTTACATGTACAATATAGTAAGACTTTTAAATTTTAAATCTTGTTTCTTTGCTCTTGTGTGTTATGGGTCTTAGGTTATGTGACAGGGGATTAAATGTTTAGTTGAAAAATGCTTGTATTAATATTTTCTTTTCTTGGATTGTAAATAAACCCTCTGATCTAGGCTCTGATTGTTATTGAGAGACACTTAGGCTAATCTTTGTCGTGTCTCATTTTTTTTTAAGGTAAAGGTAAAGGCAGGTAAAGGCCCTCCCGTTGATCGTCGATTTGCTCGAGCGGGCCCAGTAACGTCTCCATTGGAGACTTTGTTGTTACTGTGTCTGGCATATCGAATACTCTCGGTAGCTTGCCGGGCTCTCCGAGAGGGGCGGAGGAATCGAACTTGGGTTGGCCATGTTGGCCGCTTGTAAGGCGAACGCCCTACCCGCTGTGCTATTTTCGGCAAATAGGAATTTTGGTTTTGAATTCTGTTTTAGAAATTCTCATGTACACTATTCTTTTTTTGTTTGTTTGTTTTGTTTTTGGCCCACACCTGGCAATGCTCAAGGATTATTCCTGGCTCTGCATACAGGAATTATTCCTGACCTTGTTTCAGGGACCATATGGGATGCTGAATCAGCCATATGCAAGGCAAGCACCCTACCCGCTGTACTGTTTCTCCAGCTCCTCATGTGCATTCCTTTTAACTGTGAATGACAGATGCCTCTGAAAAGGGAGAAAAGCCCTGTTCTTGGTGGAGGTGGTGTTTGAGTCACACCCAGAGGTGCTCCGGAGTTACTCCCAGCTCTTTGCTTAGTGGTCCCAGTGATGAAACCTACACCTCCTACAAACAGAGCATGCGCTTAGGCTATTGAACTCTCTCTCAGACCCAAGAGCCCTTTTTATTAAAATTTGGGTAGGGGATTAGGTCATTCCTGGTGATGCTCAGGGCTTACTCTGGACTCTGTGCAGAGGGATCATACTACTGGTGATCCTTGGAGGACTGTATGCAGTGCTGGGGACAGCTGCAAGCAAGACGAGTCTCTTAACCCCTGTTCTATCTCTCCAGCATCCAAGAGTTCTTTTAAAAGGACTTTCCTTAAAGGCCTATATTAATAAAAGGGAAGAATACTGATGTCTTTATTTTTTTGCCGGGAGGGTGAGGGGTAGGGCAGGGTTAGGGTATGTTTGCTGAGGGATCAAATCTGGGTCTTATACATACTAGGCATGTAAAACGTGAAGAATAGAACTATTGGATCTAAGTTTGATTGTCAGCATTGCCCATCCTTAACAGCTCTGTATCGCCAGCCCTCGTATCTAAACATCAGGTCCAGCAGAGCACTGTGAGGAGTATCCCCTGAATCCTCAGGTCTTGAGATTGAACTGCATGCTAGACCTCAGGTTTCCCTGGACACCACTTGGGAGGCCCACCTCCCACTGTCCCCCTCCCCAGCCCCCAAAACTAATGATAGAATAAGTTGTTTCAGAAATAACAGGCTTCCTGCTATAAAGAAATTTCAAATATAGGTCAAGGAATGAGGTTCCCAGATAAAGTTGTGTGTTTGTGTTCTGCAGAACTTAGGCCTATGAAGTCCTAGTTTTGTAGGTGTTAGTAGGAGGGTCTTGGTAAGCAAATGGCAGTATAGTGTTAGTAGAAAAGTAGAACTGTGTCTTTTAAAGTTTTCTTAAGATGATTCCAATGTAGTCAACATGTTTTCTTGGACTTCTTCACTATATGAGTTTGTTTTTCTGGACCATACCCAAAGGTGCTCAGGACTTAACTCCTGGCTCTGCACTTAGTGATCACTCCTGGTGGGGCACAGGCGTCCTTTTGGGGCACTGGGGATTGAACCTGGTTGGCCCTGAGCAAGACAAGGGCTGCCAGCTGTACTATTTCTCTGGCTCCTTCACTGGATGACTTAAAAATGTCTTCATATCTCAGGAACTATGAAGTTGGGAAGGAGACAAGACAAATAAATGTAAAAATAGAGTATCCTGGGAACTACGGGTTGCTATTTAAACTCCTAGCAGAGGTTGCTAGTGCTTTTGCTGCAAAACCTAGCTTTTTCTCCTTTAGATTGCTAACTTAAACAGTTTGTGTTTTCTCTTTTTTTTTTCTTTTGGTGGATACAAAAATGTAATATTTATGTATAATCTTTTCCTGCCCATATTTTGGGGCTATCCAGAACCTAGAGCCACTCTATGTGATGCTGAGCTGACCTGGCAGTTTGGTGCTCAGGGGCCACCCACCATAGCTCCACTTGTCAGTGCCAGGGGACCTTTCTGTGCTGGGGATTGAGCTCAGTCTCAAACTCAGAATACCTCTTGAACTACCTGCCCTGCCCTTGCCTGCTCAGTTTTAGTTTTAGTCCTTGAGCCATGTGGATATTTTCCTTTTAAAGGTGATTTTAGAAAGTGTCTTGCAGTGATAAAGAAAATAGGGTTTCTTAAAGTATTTGAGGAATTGGTCACTGGAGAGTTGCAGAGAACTAGTTGCTCAAGACTTTTGGAATTAGCTAGGATTCTGTGGCAAGATCAGTTTTAGTGAAGACATGTTCTTAGAATTTTAATGTGTAGGAGGAAAAATTAAGGAGTAACCAGAATACTTAGTTAAGAGAAATGCGTGTCAAAGCCAGGTAAGCAGAAAGAGCATGACTTGACCAGGGAGTTTAGCTGATCAGCTAGAGATCTGAGCTTGATTATGATAATGTGTAATGTCCACAACTTTACTAAAAGACAGTTTTTGGCTTAAGTGGCTTAGACCACTTGCTGAGGCTAAGGAGTCTTAACAGTAGCATGCCTGAGAAGGTATATAGTGGCTAATCATTCCATTTTATCCTGCTCCTATCAGAACTCTAATAATTATGTTTGGGTACCACATCTAAGAGTTCCACTAGAACAGTAAACTACAGTTATAATGTTCAAATCCAGAAGCTGTATCACTTAAGTCACTCCTGAAAAGATTAAAGATATTTTGCTTGAAGAGATTTATTATATTTTATTTCATTTTATTTGTCTGCAGTGGGGTAGGTGTCGGGGGTTGACAGCGTTTGGGTACTAAGTGATGCCATCGATTGAAATTGTGGTCAGCCACTTTAACCCCTGTTCTGTCTTTATGGCCCCAACCCTTCTCCCCCTTATGTTTGTGATTTGTGCCACACCTGGCATTACTCAGAGGCAGCTCCTGACTCTGTACTTGGGGACCATTCCTGGTGGTACTTGGGGGACCAAGTGGTGTTAAGGCTTGAATCTGGACCTTCTACTTGCGGAGTGTTCACTCTGACCTGTTGAACTATTTCTCCTACCCCATTAAGAGAGAAGTTTAATTGGAGACAAATCTCTCTCTGGATCTGAGTTTCTTCATCCATGAAATAAAGTTGGTTAGGCAGGATGCTTTCTGAGATTGCATTTAGGAATTTCAGGTTTGGAAAGCAGCCACGTAAGAGAGAAAGTAGCCTTCTTTTAATTTACTTTAAAATTGAAATTTTCATTTAATTTCTTAAATCAAGGAGAATATCTGAAAATCACAGTATTCTTGTTAAATGTGATAGAAAACTGATGAACTACAGTTTTCAATATATTAAATTATTGTATACTTGATTTTAATAGCAGATCTTGAAAGTCAAACTTCACTTACTAGTCTAAAATTTAGCAAATCCTATTTAAAAAAATTTCTCTGTAAGTTAATAAATTAATTTTAGTAACTTAATTTTAAACTATGGTTGCTAGTGCCAAGAATGTGTCTCAGCAGTGGAGCACATTCTCTTGTGTGAGTTCCCGTGCTCTGTCTCCAGCACCTGAAAGGAAAATAAACGATGAAGCCCAGCATCCCCATATGTGAAACAGGGTCCAGGGGAGAAAGAAAATTCAAGGAGACTGTCATAGTTGAATCTGGATAATAGGAACATAGAAATAGTAATTTATTTTATAATGTAGCCTTTCAGGTTGTAAATTATTGGTGGCCTTCTATTATAAGTTTGGAATCACTTTTAGAATAGATTTTTATCTGAGAAGTTCTAAACTCTTTCATTAACATCAAGATTTTATCATTTCGTTTATATTCAAGATGGTAAATATTTGGTTTCATTTCGGTCAAAAAGCAAAATGAACAAAACTCTTGCAGTAGATTAATATTAGAAGTCTTTAGCATAAAATGTAAAAACTTCCATACTCCACTCATTTTTCTTTAAAAACTTTTCTGAGATTCATATTTTTTTGCTGGGAAATAAGATTGCAAAGACTACTTAATAATTTTACATCCTTAAGTATTTATTTCCTGAAAGATTTTGTGCTTTGTGGTAAAAACTCTGAAGGGTGTTTTTCTTCTCACTCAGCAAGCTTACTTCCTGTTTCCTTTTAGTCTCTTGTTTTGTTAATAATCTAAATACTTCAGTTTAAATTTTTTGTGTTTCAAAGGAGGGAAAGTCACAGTACTTAAAGTTGTCTGTTGGCAATTTAAGTCAAATCAAACATTTACAGGTACTTCAAATTTTTTAGTTAAAAGTTTTTTCTTTTTATTTTGGTAGACCAGACAGTCTTAATTATAAATTTAGTACTTTGAGAAGATATAAAAGATTATAATAATATATCTGTTTTGTAGTTTTGCAGATATCTGTCCATATTGATCGGATCTAAAAGTTGTAGTAACGGGGTGCTGGAGAGACAGGGCATTTGCCTTGCCTGTGGCTGACCCAGGTTTGGTCCCTGGCACCCCATATGGTTCCCCCTTGCACCACCCGGAGTAATTCCTGAGTACAGAGCCAGAAATAACACCCCTGAGCAATGCTGATTGTGACCCAGACCCTATCCCCACTTAAATAAAATCAAATAAAACAAGATATTGATACAGGGGCTTCACTGGCATATGGTTGACCCTGCTCTATCCCTGGCACTGCTGGCTAGGAGTGATCCCTGAGCATAGAGCCAGAATTTAGTCCTGAGCACTTATTGGCGGGGTACCCCCTACCC